AAACATTAAACCTTCACAGACTGGCAGGACATGAAAGAGCAGGGAGAGCTCCTAGCTCGTTCTTTGAGGCCAGTATTACCCAAAGATGTCACAAGGAAAGTGCCCCCTAGTGTCCCTTATGAATACAGACACAAAAATTCTCTACAAAACAGTAGCGAACTGAGTCTCAGAACCTATACTCTGTGACCAAGGGAGATGTATATGGAAATCAATCAGTGTACTTTACCACTTCAGTAGGGAACAAAACCTAAATAGAAACAGAAAAAGCACTGGCAAACTCCCTGTAATGATAAATACACCCTGGTACTTGAGCCTAATAAAGGACATCTCTGAAAACCTCCCAGCTACATCAAACAATGACTGAAGGCTGAAAGCTTTTCTTCCAAGGTCAAGAATAAGACAGGGATGTTTGCTGTTGCCATTTACATTCGGCATTGTGCTGGATTTTTTGAGAGATCAATTGCATTTGTATACAACAGAAATGAAAAATTGTTAATCTTTTAAAAAATTTATTTAGGGGCCACTTTTGTGGTGCAGTGGGTTAATGTGCTGCCTGTGCTGCTGGCATCCCGAATGAGTGCTGGATTGTGTCCTGGCTGCTCCGCTTCCTATCCAGTTCTCTACTAACGTGCCTGGGAAAGCAGCAACAGATGACCCAAGTTCTTGGGTCCCTGCCACCCATGTGGGAGAATAGACCAGAATGGAGTTCCTGGCTCCTGGCTTTGACCTGGCCCAGCCATTTCAGTTTGAAAGGCAGGTTGCAGAGAGAAATTTTCCATCTGCTAGTTCACTACCCCAATAGCCACAGTGGCCTGAAGCTAGGCCAGGCAGAAGTCAGGAGCCTGGAATTCCATATGGATCCCTCACAAGGGTGGCAGGGGCCTAAGCACTTGTGCCATCTTCCGCTGCTTTCCCAGGCTGTTAGCAAGGAGCTGGATCAGACATGGAGCAGCTGGGACTTGAAATGGAACTCATTGGATACCAGTGTTGCAGGTGTTGGCTTAACCTGCTAGTCACAATTTTAGCCCCTTGAAATGAAAAATCTAAAAAAGAAGAAACAATTCCGTTATAACAGCACCAAAAAGAATGTAATTCTTAGGAAAAAGCCAACAAAATAAATGTAAGAAATATATGTTGTAAATTTTTAAAAATTGTAATACTGTTAAAATGAAAATATTCCTGAAATTGACCCATATATTCAACATCATCCCTATCAAAATCTGAGCTAGAATTTTTGGAGAAATTGATGAGTTGATGCTAAAATTCATATGGAAATACAGGGACTCAGAATAAATAGTTAAAATATATAATTAAAATATAATTAAGTTAAAGTAATTTTGAAAAAAGTTGGGAGGCTCACACTTCGTGATTCGTAAAAAAAAAAAAAAAAAAAGATTTATTTATTTGAAAGAGTTACACAGAGAAAGAGAGGTCTTCCATCCACTGGTTCACTCTCCAATTGGCTGCAACAGCTGGAGCTGTGCCGATCTGAAGACAGGACCTGGAGGGGTCCAGGTCTCCCACATGGTGCAGGAGCCCAAGGACTTGGGCCATCTTCCACTGCTTTCCCAGGCCATAGCAGAGAGAGCTGGATCGGAAGTGGAGCAGCCAGGACTCAAACTGGTGCCCATATGTGATGCCGGCACTGCAGGCAGTGGCTTTACCCACTATGCCACAGCGCCAGCCCCCACTTTGGGATTTTAAAACATCATATAGATATAGTAAGAAAGACTGGTACTGGCATAAGGATATAGATAAATGGAATAGAAATGAGAGTCCAGGGGCTAGCACTGTGGCGTGGTGGGTAAAGCCACCACCTGTGATGCCAGCATCCCATATGGGCACCAGTTTGAGTCCCAGCTGCTCTACTTTTGATCCAGTTCCCTGCTGGTAGCCTGGGAAAGCGGTGGAAGATGGCCCAAATTCTAAGGCCTCTTCGCCCATGAAGGAGATCAAAAGAAGCTCCTGGCTCCTGGTTTTGGACCAGCCCACCTCCGGCAGTTGCAGCCATTTGAATGAACCAGTGGTTGAAAGATCTTTCTTCTGTCCCTCTCTGTAACACTGCCTTTCTTTCTTTTTCCTTTTTAAATATTTATTTATTTATTTGAAAGAGTTACACAGAGAGAGGAGAGGCAGAGAGAGAGAGAAGTCTTCCATCTGATGGTTTACTCCCCAGTTGGCTGCAACAGCCAGAACTGCACTGATCCAAAGCCAGGAGCCAGGATCTTCCTCTGGGTCTCCCACGTGGGTGCAGGGGCCCAAGCACTTGGGCCATGTATGCACTGCTTTCCCAGGGCATAGCAGAGAGCTGGATCAGAAGTGGAGCAGCTGGGTCTCAAACCGGCACCTATATGGGATGCTGACACTTCGGGCCAGGGCATTAATCCGTTGAGCCACAGTGCCAGCCTCAAACACTGCCTTTCAAATGAGGAAATAAATCTTTTTAAAAAGAAAAATAAATAACAAAACTATGAGCAGTAATAATGTTCTCCATTACAAAAAAAAAAAAAAAAAAAGTTACAACGTGGAGGAACCTTGGAAACATGCTCAGCAAAGTAAGCCAGAGGCAGATGAACATACTGACAGAGGTGGTTTACTCATTACCAGGGGCTGGGACCCAGGGGGAATGGGGAGTGGTTGCCTGTAGGTAGTTTCTTTGAGGTGATGTAAATGTTCTGGACTTAGTGATGATGGTTGTACAACCTTCTGAATATACTGAAACATGCTGAGTTGTCCACTCTCCCTAAGGGGTGAGTTTATGGGATATGAATTACTTCTCAACTTAAAAAATTAAAAAGGGCAACTGATAATGTGGTCTGATTTACAAACACCTTTCTGGCAATAAACTCATTAATTTAGAGGAAATGGGACAAATTCCTTGAAAAACACACCTTACCAAAAACTGACACAAGAAGGCATAAAAATTCTGAATATTTCTTTAAGAGTTAAAGAAATTGAATTAATAATTTTAAACCTCCACATGAAAAAACTCCTGCCATCAGTTTTTTAACAGTGCATTCTATCAAACATTTAAGGAGGAAATAGGATCAAAATTCACACACGCCCTGAGACGATAAATGAAAGAACAGTTCCCAAATGATTTCTCTGAAGGCTGCATGACCTTGATGGCAAAACCTGAGAAAGGCAAGAAAACGAGAGACCCCTGCCCCTCATGAGCAGCTGAAACCACCCTTAACTAAAGAGCAGCAAATGAAATCCAGCAGTGCAGGAAAGGTGACACACCGGGACCAGGGGTTATTCCAGGAATGCACGGTTGGTTTGATCTTCTACCTGCTTATTCATCACATTATCCAAATATAGAAGAAACAGGATCACTTGCTAGAAAGAAACACGATTAAATAATCAAGAGTACCTCAATAAAATATAATCATAGCAGTTATGGAGAAAGTAAGAACTCTTAGACTCTACACTTAGGGTTAAGAGTAGGCTCATGGTGTGGGAGGTGGACATCATGGTCTTTCCCACACTGGAGCATCTGAGATCAGGAGGCCTCCATCCTGGGCCCTTCCCCATCTCTGGACAGTGGACGTCCTCTGTCACTTAGACTTCCCAGGCCGTCCTTCAAACAGGAGCGAGAACCGATGACCTTCCCACGGGGCTGAGGACTCGAAGCTGGATGCTAGAGCCATGGCCACAGTCTGAATTTCAATTCCATGAGGGTGGCACTGGTGGGAATAAAAGGCAGATTGTATCTGCAGGCAAAGGAGGTTTATCACTGCTCTCCCAAGCTCCAACACAGTGGGAATCTGCCTAACACTGCCAGCCATGGGCTAGTCTGGGCCACATAGCTCCCTTGTGACCAACAGGGTCACCTTTGGCTTGAGGACATTGTTCTACTGGGTTCCTGATCATCGCACAGCCTCCAGCCCAGGGGCAGTCCCTGGCCCTCTGGAAGCCCGTGGCAAGGGCTAACATGCATGGTGGTGCCCATTCCTGCCGACGTCAGCGTGCTTTGCGTGTGCTTTATTCATGCCCACAGTGCCCCCACCCAAAAGGTATTCCTGGCACAGCATGCCCTCCTTCAGCACTGGTCTGCTGCATGGTAGGTGTCCATAAACACTGCATGGATGCATGAGCGCAAGGTGTGGCCCTCTGGTCATCTTCATTTTCTAAGCAGCCCTTCTAGCCCTCTCCCCCGGGAAAGTGCATTCCACATTCCGGCCACCTCCCTCATGATAACTAGTTAAAGGGCTTTGCATGGCTTTCTTTTCCTGGACCCTCTCCATTCTTCCCTTCCTGCCTCCCCCCTCCTTCTGTCTTTCTCCTTTGCCTTCAACCAACAACAAAACAGAAAAGAGAACAAAGTGGGGATTTCGGGGAAGCCAGGGGTTGGAATGCTGAGTTCAGCAGTCCTGAGCTGGAGTCCCAGGCCTGGGATGGTTGTGGGGTCCTCACCTGTAGGCTGGACATACTGACACTGACCTGGAGGGTTGGTCTGGATTATAAGATGGTAAAGCAAGACTGGTGTAACTCATGGCAGGAACCCCCTAAGTAGCAGTCATGATGGCGATGACAGCTCCAACCTGGCTCCAGGGCAAACTTCGGCTATCTCCTCCCCCTGTCCTATCCCCTCTAGAACACTTCCCTCTTCCTGTGCACCCACATTTCCTGCGCCCAGTCCAGGGAGGTAGGAAACAGAGCTAAAATAAGGAAAGAAGTCTAACAAAGTGATTTTCAGGAAGAAAGAGCTTAGGTTCCGATGTTCTGTGTGTGTGAGACAAAACACTTGTTAAGTTTGGGTTTCCCCAAGCCCCAGGCATGTAGGAATGGGAATTCCAAATAAAGCATGCTGTATTCTACACTAGAGGGAAGTCATCCCGTTCCAGTCTGAACTGTGACCACTGGCACCAGCCGCCAGGGACTGCATGTTCATAGGGGGAGAGTTGGGTGAGGGTAACAGGTGGAATAACAGGGAAGAAAATAAGGCAGTCTCATTTAAACAGTTCTACTGTTGTTCTTACTTGCTCTTTCTAACTCTTGTTTGCACAGAGAAAAGAGCTCCCATGTGCTGATTAACTGCTGAATGACCCACAGGGGCTGGAACCAGGAGCTGGGAACCCCAGCCAGGTCTTCCACGTGGGTGGCAGGGACCATCACTCGCTGCCTACCAGGGCCTGCACTGGCAGGAAGCTGGAGTCAGGAGCCAGAGACAGAGCCAGGAGCGGAGCCCAGGGTCGCCAACGTGGGACACGGTTGTCTTCACCACTCGGCTAAACGGCCCCTATCTCTCAGAAGGAAAAGAAGGAAAGGGGGCAAGAAAGCTGAAGACAGGAGAGAAAGGAGGTGAGAGACAGAAAGGGAGACAGACACAGGCAGGAAAAAACAGTGAGACCCCACCCTGATGGTGGAGGCAAGGCTGTGCTGGAGGCCGACGGGCCCTGCTGGGAGTGCACGGCGCGAGGATCCCCAGCCTGCGTGCACTCACCGTAGAGTGACCCAAAGGTGGGCGTAAGGGCGCGCGGGAAGTCCCAGTGCTGGGCGCCTGACCCCACCCTACGCCTTCGCGCCGCTCTCCGACCCTCCCGCTAGGGGGCGACTGGGACCTCGGCGAGCTCGGGCTTCCCGGGGCCGCGACGGCCCGCCCCGTGCACGCCCCCAAGCGACTTCCTGGTAGGCGCGGGTACCGCCTTCCCCGGCTAGGTTTCGTTTCCCCGGGAGCCTCTGGGCAGTCGCTCGGCGCTCTGGGTCCCGTGTCGTCCCCAGGACCGCCATGGCGGAGCTGCTGCCCTTAACCGAAGAGCTGTCGTGCTCCATCTGCCTGGAGCCCTTCAAGGAGCCGGTCACCACCCCGTGCGGCCACAACTTCTGCCGCTCGTGCCTGGACGAGACATGGGCCGTCCAGGGCCCGCCGTTCCGCTGTCCTCAGTGCCGCACCAGCTACCAGGTGCGCCCGCAGCTGCACAAGAACACGGTGCTGTGCTCCGTGGTCGAGCGGCTCGCGATAGTGGAGCAGGCCCGGGCGCCCGGCGACGGCTGGACGCCGCCCGTGCGCGCCGCGGCCCCCAGCACGGTCGCCCAGGTGGCCTGCGACCACTGCCTGAAGGAGCCCGCCGTGAAGACGTGCTTCGTGTGCACGGCCTCCTTCTGCCAGGAGCACCTGCGGCCGCACCTCGACAGCCCCGCCTTCCGGGACCACCCGCTGCAGCCGCCCGTGCGCGATCTGCAGCGCCGCAAGTGTCCCCAGCACAACCGCCTGCGGGACTTTTTCTGCCCGGAGCACGGCGAGTGCATCTGTCACGTCTGCGTGATAGAACACAAGACCTGCTCGCCCATGTCCCTGAGTCAGGCCAGCGCTGACCTGGAGGTAGGCTGTGGGGGGGCTGGGCGTGGGTAGCGTGGGCCCGCTGGGCGCTGCAGAGAGGCCGCCCTGCCCCAGATCCCCTGGGGAGGGAGGCTTCGCTGGGCCTGAGTTGGAGTAGAGGCATCCCCAGCGACAGAGCAGAAAAGAGCTGGGAGGTTGTGCAGCCCTCCCGGCTCATGGCCCATGCCCCAGCCATAAACCCATTTAACAGAGGGAGTACTTGGGGGAAAGCTGGCTTGCTTGAAACCTGCTTAGGTCTTTGGGAGAGGGTTTTGAGCTGTCATATAAGAACCCTGGAGCTCACCTCTCTGCCCTCATGGATTTCTGGCGGCACCTGGGAGGTGATTATTCTCAGTTCCGTTTCATAGTTGAGTGAACCGAGGTCCGTGGATGTTAATTTAGCTGGGGCGTAGGCATTGTGGCCCAGCAGGTGTAGGTCTGACACAGTTTGCAGTTTCTCCCCATGGACCAGTTTCCTATCCAAGTCTGTGGTGTCCAGAGTGGGGGACATCCTCAAGTAGCCCAAGCCTCCATCTAGTGACCTGGGAGGGTGGGCAGAGTCCCTGGAGATGACCCACGCTGTGCTGGTGTGACTGAGCCGGGCTTTGGCCCTGCTCCTGGGTCCCCCTGGGTGGTAGGAGGAGGGACTAGGTGAGTCACTCAGGGCCTCCTAGACCTGTGCTGGTTTCGGTTTCGGGAGTTTGGGGAAACCATACCTGCCCCCTGTGGACTCACAGCAGAGCGGGGGGGGGGGGGGGGAATCGCCCGCCCACTTTGCTTATGCAGTCCCAGCTCCTCGGCGGGGTCTGACTGCATTTTATATCCAGGAGGACAAAGAACAAGGCCTGGCCTCACGCTGCCAAAGGAGACCTGAGCCTGGGGGGTGGGATGGCAAGGCTGCCGGGCCCAGGGTAAAGGCCTGGCTCCCATCTGGCCACAGCCCTTCTTTGCTTCCCTGGGTCTGAGCTGGGCTCCTCTGGTCTTTTCCCCTGAGTCTAGAAGCTGGCTTTGAGGCATGTGATCTGGCTGGGTGTGGCCTGTGGCCCTCACGTTATCTCAGCCGCTGTCCCAAGCCAGGAGGAGGGCCAGTGTCACAGAGGTTGAGTCTGACACGTCATCGGTCCTAGATTTAAGATGAGGGTGGGTCCCAAATATCTCAGGTAGAGTGGGAGAGGGAGGCAGCAAGGAGGGAGGGAGGGCCAGGGAATGTTGATACAGCTTGCGAAGGGAAGGAAATGTGTTTTTCCTAGAAATTTCTGGCATGCTCAGATTGGGTTGTGTGTGTTCATTTTAATCCCAGGGTTTGAGCTGTGCCAGTTAATAGCAGTGTGGCCTCTGGCAAGTCGCTTAATTGCCCCGTGGCTCAGTGCCTGCCTCTGTGGAGGCTGGGTTGTTCCAACCGCATGGCGTTGTTCTGAGCTGTAAATACATGAACGTGTGGAAAGCGGCGCGGAAGTCGCAGCAGGTCGGAAACGCCGTGACTTCCCTCCCCACTTCTGTGCCGCAGACGTCTGAGCAGAGGTGTGACAGTCTGGGAGACTGGTGATGCATAACGTGCCTTTGTTTCCGGAGGCAGCTGGGGCCAGGCAGTTCTGAATGAGCTTAACTGAGTTTCGGGGGCTGCACTGTTGACGCCTGGACTTCGGCCTCTGTGGGCTGTGTCGGCCTTATTCCTAACATTGGTGGTCCCAGCCCGCAGCGGGGCCAGGTGAGCCTTGGAATGTTGTCCCCTGTCGCCCTGAAGCTGACAAAGGCTCGCCCAGCTCTGCTCCAGGATTGTGGTTCCACAATCTCTTCTCCTTTAGCAGTCCCCCCCTCCCGCCTCCCCCTTCGGTTTTCTGTCTGCTTTTCTGGTTGTTGGCCGTGGGAGGATTGAGCTAAACTACCTCTGCCATCACCCTGACAGCAGCTGGTCCCGGGTGGCTCTGTCTCCATGCCGGCGTGGCCACCTTTTTATTCTCCTCTCCTTGATGTTGTCAGCTGTAAAATGGGTAGGCCTGAAGATGCTAGCAGTAATGAGTGGAATAAAAGTTTGTACAAGAAAGAGTTCAGACGTGAGACAGAGTAGTGGTGAGTAAGGTAGGTAGCAAGGTAGGGCATCTGTCGGAGCGGATGGGCCCCTCTCCAGATGGAATCCGAGAATGTCCAGTTTACATGAAGACTGGGGTTTGTAAGGGAGTGGGGTCCAGTTCTTCCCATCTGTCTCCTTCCGCTCGTCCATCTTCTCCTGGAAAGAGTTTGCTGGGTGAAATAGGTACAGTTCCTCCCAGGGTTTTATTCCCCAGTGTCATCAGGCAGGGCGGCCCACTTGGCGCTGGCAGGAGGGCAGGCGGGGATCACCTGCAGAGTTCTCAGGGCTATGGACAGGACTTTGCAGTGTGGAGACCCACGCTGCTGGAGGCTGCCCCCTTCCCTCCTCTGGTGCTTTGTTGACTTTAGGCTCCACACACACACACACACACACACACACACACACACACGGGCTGATCTCTAACTTCCTACCTGGCGAAGTCCCAGGTATGGGCAGGTGTGTTGTTCCAGGTAATCCTCCTTGATAGCCCTATGGGGTGGGAGCAGTTGTTTCTCTTTTATGGCCAATGAAACTGAGGTGGTGAGAGCTGTACAGCTGCAAACTGGGACTTGAGCTGGGTCCGTCTGACCCCACATCCGGTTCTCTGAACTTCCTTACTGTGCAGCCCCCCTAAAGGATGATGGACTGCTTCAGAAAGCTCTACACAGGCGAGACATGGGGTGGCTGAGCCCCTGTGGGATGGACTCAGGGGATGGCCCCTGGTGTTGGGGGCGAGGCTGACGAGGAGCTGTCTCACCCTTGTTTGTTTTCTCTGCAGAACAAGCTGAGGTACAAACTCACCATCATGTACAGTCAGATCAATGGGGCGTCGAAAGCGCTAGAGGATGTGCAAGCCAGGCAGCAGGGTGTGCAGGTGAGTGGCCAGGCCCTTGTCCACCACCAGGCGGGATGGGGGGCAGCCCTGACCTTGACAAGGCTGGTGTTGGGTGCACTCACAAGCATCAGAATTCAGCACCAGCCTTGCAGAACAAGCAAAAGCACTGTGTGCTCAGGAGAGACCCTTTGCAAACCCAAGTTGAAAACCACCCACAGGCCCAACCGTGGGGGAACCTTCAGAACTTGAGCTGGGGGGGGCTGCTGTGGTACAGTGGTTAAACCACTGCTTGGGATACCCGCGTCCCATGTCAGAGTGCTGGTTCGAGTCCCGGCTCCCCTGCTTCTGATCCAGTTTCTGCTAGTGTGCACCCTGGGAGGCAGCAGGTATTGGCTGAAGTGCTTGGGTCCCTGCTGTCCTCATGGAAGACCCAGAGTTCTGGGCTCCTGGTGTCAGCCTGGCCCAGCCTTGGCTGTTGCAGGCACTTGGGGAGTAAACCAGTGGATGGAAGCTTGCTTGCTCTCTTTCTCTTTCCCTCTCTGTGTGTTATTATGCCTTTCAAATAAATAAGCATAAAAAAAAAAAGAACTAAAATGTAGGAATATAAAGAAATGATTATGATCTGAAATGGGAGAAAAACAGGAAGCCAATATCCACTAGAGTTGCATCTTCCCTAAAAAGAGTGTTGTTTCCTGGGGCGCTGTAACAAATTGCCACAACCTTGGCGACTGAAACAAATGAAACTCATTCTTTCCCGGTTTTGGAGGCTGGAAGTCCAAAATCACAACGTGGGCGGGATCAGTTGCAGCATGGGTGGGGTCACACTGCTCTGACAGCTGTGACCGAGAGGCCATCTTTGCTTCTCCCAGCTCCAGCCCCTCAGGCTGATGGCTTTGTGGCTGTGTGGCTCCAGTCTCCCCCTCCTTCCCCTCTGTGTTTCCAAACACCTGTCAAATAAAAACAAAACACCTGTCTTTAGATTTAGGGCCCACCAGCATAATACAGGGTGATCTCATGTTGAGATCCTCAATTTAATTACATCTGCAAATACCCTTTACTGGGAGGCAGGTGTCGGGGGATAGGGAGGGAAGGCAGCATTGGATCCATTGCAGGGAGTATAGGAGAAAAGATAGGAAGGGAGAATTTTTTTAAAAAAGATTTTTTATTTATTTGAGAGGTAGAGTTACAGACAGAGAGAGGGAGAGACAGAGAGGTCTGTCATCTGCTGGTTCACTCCCCAAATAGCTACAGTGGCCAGGGCTGGGCCAGGCTAGAGCCAGGAGCTGAGAAATTCATCACAGTCTCCCACAGGCCCAGGTGCCTAAGCACTCAGGCCATCTTCCACTGCCTTCCCAGGTGCATTAGCAGGGAGCTGGGACTCGAACCGGTGCCCACATGGATGTCTGTGTCTCAGGCTGCAGGTTGACCTGCTGCACCACAACGCTGGCCTCTGCTAACACATCTTGATTTGGACTAGCCACGTCTCAAGGGCTGGGAATGGAGCACAGGCACTCTGGTGTGGGATGCGGGCATCTTGACTGGCACTTCAGCTGCGAGGCTCAGTACTCAGCCGCTCCATGCATTTCTTTACGTGCTATCTCATACACGTATGCATTCTGTAGCAATCGATTCTGCCCTTCTGTTTGTTTCTCAGCTTTACATAAACAGCTGCTTCTCCAAGTCTGTGTCTTCTTCAAGTTGTTTTTCTCTCTTGGAGCTTTATCCCTGCATGGCTCCAGTTTATTAATCCTCATAACCATTTGGCTTTCCGTCCTGTGAACAGCTCTGTCTCAAGTCTTCTGCTGACAGATTTCCGGGTTGTTCCCAGGTTCTCGCTGTTTCAAAGCGTGTCACTTATGAACATTCTTGTGTGTGTCGCTGAGGCAGGTGTCAGGGCATTTTCCCAGAGTGCTTTCCTAGGATCGCAGCCACCGAGTCATTGGGCACAAATGCCTCCGAATTTCCTAGACTGCCTGGTTGCTGCCCAGGGTGGCTGTGCTGGCTCCTACTGCTACAGGGCACAAGTCAGAGTTTCTGGTGCTCTGCCTCTCACCCACCTTGGGATGGCAGCTGTAGCAATTTTTTTTTTTTTTTTGCCCATCTCACGGTTCTTCTCTTGCCTCGGCCCTCTTAGGAGGCTACAAACAGGAAGATAGAGCAGCTGCGACAAGAATACCTGGAAATCAAGGCTCTCATCGATGCCTCGGAGGCCAGCTCGACTCGAAAGATAAAGGAAGAGGAGAAGAGAGTGCACAGCAAGTTGGACACCATTCACCAGGTGCTCCTCAAGAAGAAGAGCGAGATCCAGGCCCTGAAGGAGAAGATCGAGGACGGCCTCAAGGAGGGGGACGAGTTTGAGTTTCTGGAGGTGGGTGGCAGGGCCCGGGACTGCCGGGTCTCTTAGCGATACGGTGGGGCCTGGTGCCGTCGGGCTGCAAGAGGTCAACAGAAGTATCTCTGAGTTTGCTGGGTTGCGACAGGACTTCAAGAACGTACCGCAGCCCCAGGGCTTAGAAGAGCTGCTCAGCGGCTCCCTGGCCCTGGAGTGTGGGCACGGCTCCGTCTGCGCAGGAGCTCACGACGCCAGCATCTGGGGGCTGGCTGGGCTGCGTTCCTTTTGGAGCGCACATGGCGTGGCCGTTGTTGGTAGAATTCATTTCCTTAGGGTTGAAGGAATGAGGTCGCCCCCTCCTTGCTGGCTGTCAGCCAAGGCCTCTCCCAGCTTGGTAGCTTCCTTCCTCAAAGCTAGCAGGAGAGCTGCTCCCCCGAGGAAGGCCTGGTCCTCCTTTTACCTGATTAAGTCTGGCTCACCCGAAAAAATCCCCCTCTGGATGAACTCCAGGTCAACTGATCCGGGGTCTTCTTGTTGTTTGTTTCTTTTTTTTTTTTACTTTTTAATTTTTATTTTATTTATTTATTTTTACTTTTTTTATTTTTTTGACAGGCAGAGTGGACAGTGAGAGAGAGAGACAGAGAGAAAGGTCTTCTTTTTGCCGTTGGTTCACCCTCCAATGGCCACCGCGGCTGGCGCACTGCGGCCGGCGCACCGTGCTGATCTGATGGCAGGAGCCAGGAGCCAGGTACTTATCCTGGTCTCCCATGGGGTGCAGGGCCCAAGCACCTGGGCCATCCTCCACTGCACTCCCTGGCCACAGCAGAGAGCTGGCCTGGAAGAAGGGCAACTGGGACAGAATCCGGTGCCCCGACCGGGACTAGAACCCGGTGTGCCAGCGCCACAAGGTGGAGGATTAGCCTATTGAGCCACAGCGCCAGCCCTGTTTGTTTCTTTTTAAAGATTTATTTATTTGAAAGGCAGAGTGATAGAGAGAGAAGAAGACACACATACACACACACATACACAGAGAAAGAGAGAGAGAGAGAGAACTTCCATCTGTTGTTTCTCTCCCCAAATGGCCACAACAGCCAGGTGTAGGCCGGGTCAAAGGCAGGAGCCAGGAACTCCCTCCAGGCCTCCCGCATGGGTAGCAGGGGCGCACACACTCGGGCCAGCCTCTGTTGCCCAGGTAACCCCTCTGAAAGCTGGATGGAAGCAGAAGACCCAGGACTTGAACCAGCACTCCATTATGGGAGGCTGGCCTCACAATCAGTGATTAACCCACTTTGCCACAATGCTGGCCCCTGAGTGGGGGTCTCAATTACACCTGTAACATTCCTGCCTCTGCTTGTAACCCAATCATGGGAGTGATATCCTGCCGCATCCCCCACGCCTCCCCCTCAAAGACCAAGGATTATATGGGGTGTGCTCCCCAGAGGGAATGGGGATCTTGGGGGCTGTCTCAGAATCCTGCCTTCTTCACACCCCATCCTCTTCCTCTTTCCTGCCTTTCTTTTCACTGCCCCCAGACCCCTGCCCTTCATGGCTCCATCCCTCTTCATGTGGCCCACAAGGTTCTTGGCGACCAGATCTTGCCTCGTGTCTTGCCACCTGCTCTCCCAGCCCATGTCCTGTGCCATGACCATGGTGGGGAATCACCATTCCCAGATGGAGTGGGCACTGGGCGAAAGGCCACACTTGACCTCCTCGTCCCTGGACGCCGCGCCCTCCTTCCAAGGCCAGCTCCGGTTTCCCCGTCTTCTTGGGATCCGTTTTTCTTACCTTGATGGATATTGCGGAGCACGTCCCCCTGCCTCTCCTGGAGCACTGGTGGCATTGTAGCATGTCTGTTGCCATGGTAACCCATCCTGTTCCCTCGCTCCTTGCGTCTCTAATGTCCAGCACAGTGGGCCTGGTGGGGCATCTGGGTTCCCTGCCACCGCCCTTGAAAGGCGTAGGTCCTGGGAGAGTACAGGAGCGGTGGGAGCTTCTCCCTGTGCATGAAGCCCAGGCTGGCGGGCGTTCGATTTCATCCCAAGTGCTCACACCTGTAGTCGAGGACGCTGCCTCGACCTCTGAGACGGTTTCTGAGTTGACAGCCAGGGCTCTTGATGCTGCGTGGCTGTGTTTGGTCTAAAAGTTTGTGACCTTCCATCAGACGCTGCCTTCCCCCAGGACATGTCCTGGCCCAACTCTGCACCTGCTGGATGATGGCGCTGTCCATTCTCAGAGGTTGCAGGATAGACCTGGCCCTGGCCGCCACTGCCTCTTCTCCATACCCAGCAGGAGGAGTGGGAAGAGCTTTGTCCTGAGGCCCAGGCAGCCTCACTCCCAGTCGTGTCAGTGCCGGGAAATGGTGGATTTCCCAGGAGACCGCTTATCGTGCCTAGAGCTCAGCTTCCCCACCTGTAAGATGAGAAACCTCTGAGGTTCCTGGATCTTAAAGTGGCGCCTCAGCTCTGGGTGACTTCCGGCCTGTGCTGGAGTAGGCTGCCTGAAGTTAGCACCGTAGGCCCAGGGGAGCTCCTCCCGAGGCACTGGCCTCCCTGGAGCTGCCTGCACTAATCCCCTGGCTTCTTCCAGAAAGCCTCAAAACTGCAAGGAATCGTGACGAAGCCAGTGTACGTCCCCAAGGTGGAGCTGGATCATGAGCTGATACATTGCGTCTACCAGGGCACCTTGGACTTAAAAAATGAGCTGAAGCGGGCTACCAGGCAGCTCCAGGAGAGGAAGCCCAAGGAGGCCCCAGGCCCAGGTAACCCCTAGCAGCCCTGATGCTGTCCCCTGCTGAACTCTGAGCCCGGGGTGAGCTGCTCGGTGTTTTGGCAGGGGCGGGGGTAGGGGTGGGGGCACGTGATCCAGAGCTTTGGGGTTGGCATTCCAGGGGTCGCCTTCCATTTGCCAGGTGAAGTCCCTGCTTTATCTTGACATTGATGTTGCCGTGAAACATGGTATGAGGCTTGATGTTATAATAGGACTTCCAGGACAGGCTCTGTCTGTGACCCCGAAGCCAACTTGCACGGGTTCTGAATAGACTCAGGGTTGTCAGTGCGTTTGGTGAGGGAATGATGAGTTTGAGAACCCATAAAACCTGGACTTCCTCCCCAGCAGCCCCCCTCATTCTGTCCCCCATGTCCACCCATTGCAGGCTTCACCTCTAATGTTTCCCAAGTTAGTCCACTGGTCCCAGTGCCCCTCTCACTCGCCTGCTCTCTGCTGCCGTCACCTGCACCCCATGGCTGTGGCAGCTTCCTTAATGGTCTCTGTGCGTCTACTGCTATAGCCAGAGGGAGCTTGTTGGGATTCAGGTCTCACCTCCTGGGACCTATCTCTTCCCCTTTCAAAGGCTTTCCATTCCTGTTGGTTGCCAGACCCTTGACCTTGGCCCACAAGCCAGGTCAGGCCTTGTCTGTCTCTCCAATGCTACGGTGCCCCGATCCTCTCCCCATGCATCGCTCTGCATTCAGTTCTTCCACTATGTGGAGCTTCCTGCCATAGGGCCTTGGTACGTGCTCTCTTCCCACTTCTCAGAAGCCTGACACGCTGCCACCCTCACCGTTAACTCCTCACCCTTTGAAGCGTGGCTCAGACATCACATTTCTCAGCTGACGTCCCTTCCACCGCTGCCACGCCTTACGCTTGGTCCTGCAGTCTTACCATGCTTTCCGGCACACGCGTCCTTTTACTCTTCCTTGGATTGCTGTCTATCTGCCCTGCCAGCTTGCAGTCTCTGAGGGCAGGGGCTATGTCTGTTTCTCATTCAACACTGTCCCACGGCGCCTCACACAGAACCTCATGTGTCATCCAGGGCCTAGGCTTGAACTTCAACTTGGCCACTTGAGTGTCCCTGCAGAAGGGCTTCTGAGACAAGTGGTGGTGCAGCTTTACTGGGGGAGTGACTTGTAGGGGTTCCAGCTGCTGTGGGGGGAACCAGAAGTGACCCTACCTCCCTGCCACCCCAGGCACCTTCATCTCACGTGGGTGTCATCCCCAAAGTTAGAGAGGTCTCGAGGTCACAGAGCTGGATGCTGGCGGCAGTAATACTTGACCCCAGCTGCACCTTAAGCCAGAGAAAAGAAGGAACACGCTGATCTGGTCATGCTGTTCCTTTGTTTCTGTTCCTTGTTGGTGACTGGATGGGGAAAGTCAGTGGAAGCAGCTGCCTGCAAACCCTCTGCCTGCCTGCCCTGGCACACCAGGCTGCGAGGGCGGGTGGGGAAGAGCCGTGTGTACTGAGCCTTCTTCTCTGGCACAGGTGACTCTACAGACCATACAAAAAAGGAAAGGAGCAAACCCTCACACCCTGGGAAGAAGGTGTCATGTAAGTAGCCCTGCTGTGTCCCCATAGCTACAGCAAGGCCGTGGCTGGCCTGTGCCCTGGCTCAGACACTCACGGGGTCTGCTGCTTCCAGATGGGCACAGTTCCTTCCATCACCACGGGGAGCCCAACCTTGACTGGAGAAAGCTTTGGCTTTAGAGTGGAGGGGCATCCACTTCTGCCCCCCACCGGCAGGGCAGGCGCTGGGGTGGGAAGATGGTCCTCAGGCTCTGTCTGTCAAACTTGGGCAACAATGATCTGGAGCCCCCTGGCTTACTGGAAGTGCAGCTTCCATGAACCTGTGAGCATGGGTTTTTTTTTTTTTTTTTTTTTTTTTTTTTTTTTTTTTTTTTAAGATTCATCTTTTTTGAAAGGCACAGTGCCAAAGAGGGAGGGAGAGAGAGTGAGATGTTCTATCTGCTGGTTCACCCCAAATGGCCATGGCAGCCAGTGCTGGGCCAGGCTGAAGCCAGGAGCCAGGAAATCCATCCATATCTCCTATGCGGGTACAGGAGCCCAAGCACTTGGGCCATCATCTTGCGCTGCTTTCCCAGGCGCATTAGTGGGGGGCTGGTTTGGAAGTGGAGCAGCCGGGACTTGAACCTGTGCCCATATGGGATGCTGGTGCCACATGCTGTGGCTTAACCTGCTGCGCCACAGCTCTGGCCCCACCTAGCTTTATTAATATGAGTCAAATTCATGCAAAGGAATGTTATTATGATTTTTTGAAAGTGTCATTGGGTTGTACTTAAACTTCTTAATTCTAAAACTTTCTTTTTCAGATGACAAGAAACCCAAGAACCCTTGTAAGTTGTGCATGTCTGCATCTTTTTCTTTCTTTTTTAATATTGATTTATTTATTTGAGACACAGAATGAGAGAGGGAAACACAGACAGACAGAGATCTTCCATTCACTGGTTCACTCCCCAAATGCTGCAATAGCCAGGCCGGGCCGGGCCAGGAACTCCATCTGGTTCTACCACATGGGTAGCAGGAACTCAAGTATTTAAGCTATCATCCACTGCCTTCCCAGACGCATTAGTAGGAAGCTGGATTAGAAGCAGAGCAGCTTGGACTTGAACTGGCACTCTGATATGGGATGCCGGTGTCGCAAGCGGTGGCTTAACCCGCCAGCCCCTTTGTCTTTTCTGTCTTACCTTAAGAGGATTTGGGTTTTATGATTCTGTTCTGTAACACAGGCAGGCCTGAGGTTGGAGGTGAGGACAAGCAAAACTGAGTAAGGACAATCAGATGACTGTAGTCCTGCGTGGCCCTGGCCGTGCAGGTGTGTGTGTGGCAGGGCTCACGATAGTTGGCTTGGAAGGGAGTCGAGGCCACCTGGCTGCTGTGCGGCACATCCCCCACTCATGAGTCTCCTCCCTCTCCCTCAGCAGCTGACACTGTCCCTCCGTCTCCTGCCCCTTGCCCACCTGCCAAGATTCCCATCTTCGGAGCCCTGGGACACGTTGTGAGTTTGAACCCAGCTGACGCAGAGGGTGAGTGACTGGGGGCCAGGGGCGAGGGGCCAGGAGCCAGGGGTATCCCTTTGGACTTTGTCTTGAACGCAGCCCTCTGTGTCCTCTGCAGCTACAGCCAAAGTTGCCCTCTCAGCAGCGAGCTCAGCAGCTGTCAAGGCCACCGAGCTGAAGGCCTTCTTGGACAAGTCCAGACCCGAGCTCCTGGAGTGTGAGTGGTGTGGGGGAGGGGCGTGGCTCCTTGCCCTTGGCTCTGTCCCAGTCCCAGTGGCCTGCGTGGTCAGTGACTGCCCTCCCCAATCCCCTGCCTCTCTATGTGCCTCCCTCCTTCCCCCCTCCCTCCCTAGGCAGCTGTGAGTCCGTGGTCAGTCCTTGTGGTCTCCCTCTTGCTGCCCAGCCTGGCTGAACCCTGCCGGCCCCTCTTTGAGTCCGAGACATGCACTGCCGAGCAGGAGCAGGAGGGCAATTCGTGGTCCCAGGGCCAGCAGCCCTGCCCTGGGAGTCCCGTTGCCTCCCGCATCACCCACCCCAGCCTCCATTCCAAAGCCTTTCAGCCGCCGTGTCCCTCCCCCCCCCCCTCCCCCCCCCGCACAGTGCTGCACGCTCAGATGCCCAGAGGGCACCCTTCACCACTCACTGTCCTCCCACTGCCCTCCTCGCCTCATCCCAAGGCCCCCACCCTGGAGCTCCGCTCTTGTTCTCTGCACAGTCACACTCTCCGTGGGGCCCCTCCCTCTGTCCTCCCCTCCCCCAGCGGAGCCTGCCTATGCATGGCACATTTCCATCTCCCTCTCTTCGCAGAAACACACCCCACAAACCTTTCTTGGCTGTATCTCTGTATTTCACCCGAATACTCATTACAAATACAGATCCCATCAGGCCGGTCCTCCGAGGCCAGGGGCCCGGGGCCAGCGCAGAAGGCTGGGTGTTCGGCTCATTGCCCCGGAGCCCCTTCTTGCGAGGGAAGTTGGGGCACTTGCGGCTCACTCCCATGCCTGTTTGCACCCCCACCCCCACCCCTGGGAGCTTTTCCGAATCCCTGCCCCGGGCCGCAGCCCGGCTCTAACTCAGCCTCAAGTGCTCTTCAGGGCTGCCCAAGGGTGGCTGAGGTGACAGCCCCAAGTCACGTCCTCGTCCTGCTGCAGGCTTTGTCCCTGCCGCTTCATCAATGGCCTCTGTGCCCCGATCCCAAACTTTGGTCTCCCTTAACCTCCCAGTGGCATTCCTCCTGCTTGTCACAGTCTCTCCCCGGAGCCCCCGAGCCACCACACTCCCTCAGGGTTCCAATGACCCCTCCAGTCGCCGCCTCCTGGGGCTCCTTTGCACACTCGTCTTCCTGTCCCATTTGGAAGTGGTTGGAGTTCCTTCTTCAGGGCCAGGATGAGCTCCCCTCCCATGGGAGGCCAGAGCCGGTGCTAGGCTGGAACTGCCACCGCATCAGTGGTTCAGAGCCTCAGGTGCTCCATGGCAGGGCCACGTAAACAGGGAAAGTAGAAGTCTAGCAGCTTAGGACCTCAGCAAACATTTGCCCAGCCCATTCACTTCTCCCCTGGGGAAACTCAGGCCCCATCGAAAAGTACTGCGTCCAGCCAGCCAGCCAGCAGCAGGGGCTCCTAGTTCCCAGGTTCCTGAGATTGACCCTGTCTGCCTTGCCCTGCAGCCTGGCTCCCCTGGGTTCTGTACTGCCTGTGAGAGGAGGGGCTGAGACAGGGAGTCCCAGGAGGCAGCAGAGTGTGGGGACGACACTGGAACTTGTTGAAAGTGGCAGGAAGGGTAGGGGGGCAGGCTCGTGTCCCAGCCAAGGACATGTTTAGGCCTTTTGTGTGCTTTCAAATCGTGGTTGGCTCCTTGCTCCCTCCAGTTAAGTCCAGGCCTCTCTCCCTTCCCCATTTCTCTTCCCCTACCCCTGTGTCTGTGTTTCCCACTGCACAACCCTCCCTGACCCAGCAGCAGGTGCCCACCATCCTCTGACTCTGTGGCTCTATGCTCCCTGTACCATAGGTTGCAATAGCTTTTCTCCCTCCTCCACCTGGTTCTTCTCACTTTCTTTGGCGTGGTTCAGATCCCAGCCTGCCTGTCCCCATACTCTCCCACCCTTCAAGTGGAATCAGTTGTGAATGGGTCTCTGTGACCCTACTGCTGTGTGCCCACCATTCAGCACAGATGGATCTTACGGTGCTGCTGTTATTGATGGATTTGCCTTGCTTGTTGGAATGTCCACTCCGTGAGGCCAGGCATCTTGTCT